TTATTTATGAAAAGGCCATGATTTACAAAGTTAATTAATAAAAAGTTAAATAATTTTAATTTAAGTAATTAAATAATAAGTTAAATAATTTTATATATCAAAATCTTATACATTTGTTATAGAGCTGCACTGAGATGGTTATGCCAATATGTGCAGATGGCAGCAAGATATGTTTGAGCCAAGTCCGTGGAACTTTACACAGTTTAGTGAGCAATGTCATAAAAGATGGAAAAACATATCCCAGAGAAAACTGGATAGTTTCTGAGTACTGGGGTAAAAGTTTAGAAACGGCCAGTAATATTATATTTAGGTATGTTTATTTTATTTCTTACCAAGTTTCAAATTTGAGAACATGCAACTATTACAGGTCTTGTTTGTGTTAAGAATCATTTAAAAGGCATTTCCTGTAGGTTCTTTATTTTTACAGAGGCAAAGAAGGAAATTTGAACAAGTGAACAGAATAACATAAAAAATTGCATAAAAAAGTGAATTATGATGTGAACATATTTATGAAATGAAATGGGGAACACCATCCTTCTATTTAGTTATCTGCCCATGAAAATGAGTTTTCGCTTGTTTTCAAGAGCAAATCACTCAAAACCAAGCATGCTGATGTCTTATTACAAATTATTCTTTGATATTTTTTTTTTGTTGTCGGCGTCGGTGTCGGCGTCCGTGTCGGCGTCGTTGTCGGCGTCCCCTAAAGCTTGTCCGGAGCATAACTCAGTCACTTTAAGTCTGATTGTCTTCAAACTTGGTATGCAAGCTTCTTTCATTAACCCGAAGTGCAGTGCACAAGGACTGGTACTCTGCACTTCTTAATTTTTGAGTTATTGCCCTTTGTTAATTTTCATACTTAATTTTGTCCGGGCCATTTCTCTTCAACTATGAGCTATGGACTTGAAACTTTATAGGATGATAGATCTTATTAAGGAGAAGTGCAGTGCACAAGAACCGGTACTCTGCATTTCTTAGTTTCTCAGTTATTGCCCTTTGTTAATTTTCATACTTGTTTTTTGTCCGGGCCATCTCTCCTAAAGTATAAAAGCTATGGACTTGAAACTTCATAGGATGATAGATCTCATAAAAAGAAGTGCATTGCACAAGAACTTGTACTCTGCATTTCTTATTTTTGAGTTATTGCCCTTTGTTAATTTTCATACTTTATTTTTTTCCGGGCCATTTCTCCGAAAGTATAAAAGCTATGGACTTGAAACTTCATAGGATGATAGATCTCATTAAGAAGAAGTGCAGTGCACAAGAACCAGTACTCTGCATTTCTTATTTTTTGAGTTATTGCCCTTTGTTTATTTTCATATTTTGTCCTGGTCATTTCTCCTCAAGTATGAAAGCTATGGACATGAAACTTCATAGGATGATAGATCTCATTAAGAAAAAGTGCAGTGTACAAGAACCGGTACTCTGCACTTCTTATTTGTGAGTTTTTACCCTTTATCAATTTTCATACTTTATTTTTGTCCAGGCTATTTCTCATAACTTATAAAAGATATGGACTTGAAACTTCATAGAATGGTAGATCTTATTGATAAGATAAGAAGTGCAGTACATAGAAACTGTTGCTCTGCACTTTTTTATATTTTGAGTTATTGACCTTTGTTAGTTTTCATATTTCATTTTTTTCCTGGCCATTTCTCCTAAACTATATTGTTCACAAGGCGACACATCTAGTTCTAGTTTTCTGTAGAGGTTGCTCTAACTTGTTATCAAAGAAAATATAATTATTTTGAACTTGATAGATAATGTCATAACGTCAAATGTTAATGCTGTGGATCATTTTAATTTATTTACTGATGTAACAAATGTTATTTCATAAAGCATAAAAATCATGGATCTTATCTTTCATTTTATTATTAAAATATTTTGAGTTTAAACTGACCATGGTCACATTTGACTCTCAGGCAGTGTAAAGAGACATGTAACTCATTAGCTCTTTCAAGTATGTTTTAGCTATTAACCTGCATTAACAGAAAGTGATTAGCCGTTGCCACCAGTACAGAGCTAGACCAGCCTGCACATATGTGCAGTGTGATCAGGCTCTATACCGTTGGCAGCACTATTTTTGCATTTTACAATAACCCATTACAATAATAGGCTCTATACAGTTTGTAGTTAAATTAAAATCCATCCCAAAATCATTAAATGAGCAGTTCCAAATTCAAAACAGGATAAGTCTATTACTTAAATTCAGCAGAAGAAACGGTAAGGCAGGTAAAATATTAGGAAAAATGTCATACAAATTAATATAAAACATATATAATGTAATCAGCTGTGTAATATCAAAAGAGGCAGCTGTAGTTAAGTTTAAACATATTTTATTTCAAACATTTTCACACAAACAAATTATTACATACAATCATTAGTTACATAATAAACAATGCTGAAAAAGGATTAGATCCGAAAGCATACAATGCTTATAGAGGTCTTTTCCTAACATATAATTCATTACTGTAAATTCGGCGGTAAATTACATGTTCGAAATAGTATATCATGAAACATTTTATTGATGATGAATGAAGAAAGACGAGGACGGCAAAAGTGTCTATTCAGAGCTAAAAGTAAAAAAAATAAATAGTTGAAATAAGTTAGATAGGAAATCATGCTATAATATGTTTTAAAATCAACATGAAATGCTAATACTGTGACCTAGTGGAATGACGCACAAAAACATATTGAGATTGATGGTCAGAAAAAGATGAGATTGATTCAGTAAAAATGGTGCAAATACATTATGTTAAGGAAAAGATATTATTATAGAATCTATTCGGTATGTCAACGGAGTGAGCAGAGTTTGCAAAGGACTATGGAAAACGTTTGCTATCTCGGATATATATTTGAACTGCCTGGAATATACTGGTGTTTATGACGTCACTTAAGTTGTTATCACCTCTCAGTAATATGGGGAGAGTAACATAACAATAAGCCGATAAAGTGTGAAAGAGGATATTTCGGATATTATTGTAATTGTTGACATTCAAAGAAAAAGTGGTGATTTGTTTCTAGAAGACCACATTGACACAGTGGTTAATTTGTTATATTTTTCTGAATAAGTGATAGTTGAGAGGACTACACTCAGTTCGTAGGCGTGCATGGTATATTTGCCATTTTCTGATACCTGTATAAAAATATTTTGGACATTTTGATAGGTCACTATTCAGAAGACTCTTAAAGGATGATAGTGAAGGTGCATTTTGTAATTCAGCAGGGAGGTCGTTCCAGTCTCTTAGAGCAGAAGGAAGAAAAGCATTATAATACAGAGAAGTTCTTGTTCGTATACCGTTAAAATCGTTTGAGTTGCGAAGATTGTATCTTGATGTCTCACCTACTGAAGGGGGAACAAGAGATGAAAGGTAGTTTGGGGAAAGTCCATTTTTCATTTTGTAAAGAAGTATGAGTTTGTGTTTCCTTCGTCTAGACTCTAAAGATTCCCAAGGAACTTCTCGTTTGAGCTCATGCAAAGAAACAAGTTTACTGGCACCAGAGACAATTCGAGAAGCTTCGTATTGGATTTTATCAAGTTCTTATATGTAAGGAAAATGAGTATGTTTGAAACATGTTAGATGCAATGTATAGGAGAGATAGCATGTTTAATAAAAGTGTGAATTTCCATGGACATGTGTAGGAGATCATGATAGTAGTACATGATAACTTGTTCATTATGTGATTGATGCTATGAGCAACAAGAAGCTAACTATCACAATCACACCTACACAAGTCGTGTCTTTTATCGGCCAATGCGTTCCGTTGAACATAATCCGAATAGATGTTAATATAGAGTAAGAATGAACATAAGAAGAAAAGGTGTATATGTAAAAGACAAATAGATGAAAAAACATTGTGTTAGAAATAAGATTTAAATAGAAGCTAAATGTGATTTGAATTTAATGCTGCCAATAATTAGACAATGATGAATACACTTATCTAGAAAATGAATATTGTGAAGAATAGTCGTTTATGTTAAAACTTTCTTGAGTTAAAATATTTCAGATGTTAATGCTCAGGCCGTGTGTGTATAATGATCACAATATGATTACATAATTTTCACATAAAGATGATACAGTGGTGAACAAAGTCGTACTGATTTTAGACAAATACAAAGAAAATAAGATAAACTTACTATTATATACCTATTAACTTACAGTAACTGTTATCGCATCAATAAACAAAATATATATATTTCAATGTCTCCCGGAATATATACATAAATATATACATCTATTGAGTACAATACTTACTGTTATATACCTATTAACTTACTGTTATCGCATCAATAAACAAAAACATATATATATATATATATATATATATATTAGTGTCTCCCAGAATATATACATAAATATATACATCCATTGAGTACAATACTTACTAATATACCTATTAACTTACTGTTAACGCATCAATAAACAAAAATTTATATATTATGATGTCTCCCAGAATATATACATAAATATATTTATCGCATCAATAAACAAAAACATATATATATATATATTAGTGTCTCCCAGAATATATACATAAATATATACATCCATTGAGTACAATACTTACTAATATACCTATTAACTTACTGTTAACGCATCAATAAACAAAAATTTATATATTATGATGTCTCCCAGAATATATACATAAATATATACACCTATTGAGAACAATACTTGTCATATTGACCCTTAACAGGCATACAGTATTAACAGTGTTAGCTATTGCAAGCATTTATAACACCAGTCACTAGGTCCAGGCACTATACAATAAACAAATTCTCTGCTACAAAAATAATGATAGTGCAAGTGCTTTGACGTTATAAAATAAGCAAATGACGTCTATACAGATTGTATAGAATAAATAAACCGCACAATTATATATTAAAAGAAATTCAAACTAACAAACACGCAGCAAAACCAATATTTTATAAGTTAATATGAAAATTATTCATAAAACTATTCGATTTATTTGGACAGTAGCGCTGTAATGTATGGGACCAGGTCAAGGGTATTTTTATCTATACTAACTGATATTGAATTGTTATTTCAAAATATTATCAAGAACTAGTGATCATTAGGACACTTATTATGCATTAATTTTATAGTTACTTTCTTTTAAAATGAATTTGAGGACCACATTCAATTTATTTACATGGTAATTATGGTCCCAAATTAATGTAGAATAGATCTTATATTTGATCAGAAAAAAACATATTTTATACACAGACAAAAAAGTTACAACTTCAGGGGCAAGACAAAATAAGTTACTTGTTTACAGTCTAAATACTCATAAGTTGTTCATAAAATTAGACCAAGAGGCTCCTTAGTTAATGTGCAAATGAAAATAATGACAGACTATTTCAAGTGAACATTTCATCAAATCCAGCATAATTTTGATATACATTTGTCAAAGTAAAAAATTAATAATAATAATAATAATAAAATAATGGTCAATATGTATTTTTTGTTTGAACACTTTTTCATAGGGAACACTTTTTCATAGGCTGTCAAACGAGCACTATTTCATAAACTAGACCAAACTTAACAGTTCACTTGTACTCAAAACACATCAACTATTCGTCATGTCTAGACTGTTAATACATGTATATATAACCTGTGAGATAACGTGGACATCCATGTCACGTGATCATTATTTGTAGCGTGTGTAAATAGTATACTTCACACCGAAAGTTTTGCATACCCAGAGTAATGGCGCGGAAAATTACTTGTGTTTAGGTTTATCGTTATCGGCAGGAATGGGATTATCAGATTTTACAGACATTAAGTCATGTACATTGTTTATTCGATGTATCTTACGATTGGCATCCTTGACGATCACTGCCCCGTCGAATGTCCAGGCACTTAGTATGAAGTTATTCTTGACCAATTGTCTTGCCTGATAAAATAGCTTGGAACGTGTCCTAGTCAGGTCTTCATTGACAAAGATTCCGGAAAATCCATGTGATTTAAGACCGATTTTCGACCTGTAGAATAAGTTCCTTGCCCGATAAGATGTGAATTTAACGATTATATCCCTGGGTTTGTCAGAGTTTTTCATACCAATTCGATGAGACCGGTCAATATCTGTCAAAGATATGTTAATGCCAAGCGAAGTTGCAAGGTCAATAATTTTGGAATCCGTACTGTCTGTACTTGCCATGGGAGATACTGAAACATTTTCTCCAGAGTCATATGACTCATCTTCGGTACAGGAAGTGCTTTTGTGTTTAGCTTCATCGGACACGTGCATACCATCAGGAAACGCATGCCAGCCTTCTTCAGGCACTCCACTGACGCGGAGGCTGATGCGCCGACTGTATTGTTGCCCATTTTCAGCTTCACTTTCCAAGTGTGAAATTCAAGTGTGTAGATACAATGATATTACAGATTAGAATTGTCACAGTATACAAACTATTACATGATATTATGTCATTTCAGTAACGGAGCTCTTGACCCCTGGTCATCTGGTGGCGTAACCACAAGTCCATCTTCTTCCATCGTGCCATTGTTGAAAGAGTCTGGTGCGCACCATCTAGATTTACGAGCAGCCAATCCTCTTGACCCACCCTCTGTTTTAGATGCCCGACAGTCGGAAAAAAATCTGCTAAAGATGTGGTTAGGTCAAGTGCAAGATGATAAGTCTCGACAAGGGGGTGGTGTACATAATGTATTTGCTTCTGAGAAATACACGATTCCATAAACAGTTTCTACTATAGTATCTCCACAAAACATCACTATAGGTGTTCTACTCGTAGTTATATGTTTCTGTTCTTATTATCGTTTATTACTTCATATAATGCTGTTATTCTACCTGAAATGCATTGAATAATTAACTTTATTTCCAACTTCATATGTAATTAATAATTAGTTAGGTATTTTCTATATTTTGAAAATTAAGAGCTGGAGGTAAAATATAAGAATTTATATTCTCTAATAATTGCCCCTAACCCCTACCCTTTAAGAGATAGGAAAAGAAAACCGTTCAATAGCAGTATATTAAAAAGATCAAGGAAATCAACATCATACGAGCACTGTATATAACCCAGTGGTAAACAACACAAAAACAACAGATTCTTTTAATTTTGACCCTTTTTGTACTTTAATTATAGCCCAATTTTTGGAAAATGTAATACCCCTGAGGGTATTTATTAGAGTATACATGTATAGTAAGACAACAATTTATAAGACCGGTGATGTTTAGTAAGAAAAATCAGTACATATACATAACATGTATTTATTTGGCATTATTTAATTGATTTTACTTTATTTACAATGTTTTACCTTCTGGTGTCAAATTATATGATTTGGATTGATGTTACTTTTATTAGAAAAAATTCAACATTGTCAAATTTTGTTGTTGCATATTCCACCCAGCAGTGCTTAACGTTTAACAGGATTTTTTTTTATTATAATATAAATACTATAAATTATATCTTTTCCATTTTAAGCAGATATCACTACAGATTTGTTTTTCTCTTTCTTATTATGAAGAAATGTGTAAATAAAATATTATATTCTTTTATAGTATTTGTAAATGAGATGCAATATGCAATTTTATATAAGTTTCTTTTTATTTCAACTTAAGGTATATACTTCATTATATATTCCAGGTGCTAATTTACTAAATCTAGTTCCTCTAAATAAGGTATTGTTATATTGTTTTTGTAAAGGCGTCTTGAATTTGAATGCCAGCAAAACAGATGTTGCAGTTCTCATTATGCCCCATGAACAGACTCCCTCCTATGAATAGACTCAACACAAAAACCGAGTCTGAGATTTTCTACTACATTTGTATTATTTTTTTGTTTTGATTGTTCTTTATCGAAGGGTCACCTGTTTTCAAAATTATGATATCAATATTTATGTCCTGACCTCTGTTAAGATTTATATGTTTTAAATGGTATTTTATAAGGTTAACAGTTATTTGATAAAAATCAAAGGGAAGTAAGCAAGCTTAGAGCAGTATTTTTTATGATTATTCCCCCTGGTGTATTTTGATAAAATGTGCTGCAAATGAAGAGCAAAAGTTTTTTTTTTCTTTTATCAAGGGTATTTGGCTATTGATTTACCCAGTATACCGTAGTTACCCTTTGATCATTAAATACGCGATACATGTTAAATAATAAGCCACTTTATTCGTCAGTACATTTGTAATTATGCCTGATATATTGTGTATAGTACTGGGTTTAAAACCCCGCACAACGAAGTTGTAAGGGGGGGGTATACTGGAATAAGCTTGTCCGTCCGGACGTCCGTCTGTCCGGCCGTCCGGACATCTGGCCGTTCGTCGGTTATTCCTTGTCCGCCCAATAACTTAAGATTCCTTTGACCCACAGTCTTCATATTTGGCATGGTGGTTAGTCATGACTAGTAGATGACCCCTATTGAACTTTTTAGGTCACTGGGTCAAAGGTCAAGGTCACAGGGGCCTTGACTAAAAAAGCTTGTCCGCCCAATAACTTAAGAAAACTTTGACCCACAGTCTTTATATTTAGCCTGAAGGTTAGTCATGATTAGTAGATGACTCCTTTTGATTTTGAGATCACTGGGTCAAAGGTCAAGGTCACAGGGGCATTGATTATAAAAAGCTTGTCTTCCCAATAACTTAAGATTCCTTTGACTCACAGTCTTCATATTTGGCATGAAGGTTAGTCATATTTAGTAGGTGACCCCTTTTGATTTTGAAGTCACTGGGTCAAAGGTCAAGGTCACAGGGATTTTGACTTCAAAAAGTTTGTCCGCCCAATAACTGACTTTTGACCCACAGTCTTCATATTTTGGATGGAGGTTGATCTTAACCATTAGGTGACCCCTATTGATTTTGAGGTCACTGGGTCAAAGGTCAAGATCATAGGGGCCTTGACTAAAAAAGAGATATTCCGCCCAATAACTTAGACTTAGACCCTAAGTCTTCATATTTGGCATGGAGGTTAGTCATAATTAGTAGATTACCCCTTTTGATTTCGTGGTCACTGGGTCAAAGGTCAAGGTCACAGGGACTTTGACTTCAAAAAGTTTGCCCACCCAATAACTTGAGAAACCTTTGATCTACAGTATTCATATTTGGCATGGAGATTGATCATGACCATTAGGTGACCCCTATTGATTTTGAGGTCATTGGTCAAAGGTCAAGGTCACAGGGACCTTTACTAGAAAAAGCTTTTCGTCTCAATTGCTAAAGAATGCTTTATATTTGTATCAACAGTCTTCATATTTGGTATTGAGGTTGTTTATGACTAGTGACAAGGTCACAGGGATTTTACTATAATGAGTTTGTCTGCTCAAATGCTTAAGAATGCCCGTCCGCAGTTTATTGATATTGACATTTTCACGTTTGAAGCATGTAGAATACATAACTTAGCAATGCACTGGCTTAGTAACCTCAGATTTGGCAGGGAGGTTGTTTTTGAGCTCTAAATGCCCACTGTTGTTTCTGACTAAGTGGTATGCGAGGGTATCCACGCCATGACAGTGGCAGTTCTAGTTATATTTATATGTATACGAGTTAAAAACTGCTAATTATGTATTTCAGCCGACTCAGGGATGATTTCTTCATGAATAATTGAAATTTTAGGAATTGTTTACTTTTGCTTTGAAAATAAATATATATATTTAAAACAATGAATTTTAGATGCACGTTTTATTATTTACTTTAATTTATGGGAAAAAACAATTTATGGAATTACATACGGGTTAATCTTAAAACATGGATGAAATAAACTATTAACTGATTTTATTTGTTTTTGTTTTTTATTTTATTTTCTCAGGAACATTTATGAGAACATTTTTCAAAAAAGATGAATATTTTGTTTTGTAAGAAATTGGAAAGTTTTGTTTGGGGTACGTTGGTTTTGATACAAATAAAATTTAAGATATACTTCATATTAAACAGGTAGAAAAGCCCAGTGTCCCGGTGTCCTGGTATTCTTGTTATTTCAGACTTGAATGATTACACATCTTTTAGTATATTTTTCAACAATAAGGCATTTCCGTAGTAGTTGCAGATTGTTTATCCATCTTTCTATTAAAAATTAGTTTCTATATCCATGTAATACCGATATGTGAGGGTTTAAGTAATTATTTCCATTTAACAAGTATATAGTTCATATTAATCACGGCATATATCCATAATGCATGCATGTGAGAATAACGCAGAAATTTGTGCAAAAAGAAACACAGAATTGTGCACTTCGGTGTTGCGAAATGAGAAACACTACTTTCATTCTATTATTATTATTTCATTAATCATTATGAACGGAAATGATTTAATATATAGGGCTGCTAAGATATTGAATTGTAACTCCTTTACAATTATTTCCCTCTCAACAACATTCGTGAGCCAGCGTATTGAAAGCAATTTTATATACACTGTACTCGTACTCCCTAGTAACTGATTAGTAACTGGGAAAAATAACGCATACAATTTATATTCTGATAAAACTGAAATAAAGTAGATTACACATATAACTGAGGTACTTTTTATGCGGTAATGTCGATTTCTGATGAATATCGAGTTAACGCCATTTACCTGACGTCATTCTCGTGGTCTTTTAATTGAAAATCGGCGCAGGGAATTCTTGGAGTTTAGTTAAATATATGCACCATGTTCGCCTTATGATAACTGGAGAAACTGAACGAACATTTCTCTTATATTGATTCATTATTTTTTTCCTTATTTTAGAAAACTTTATGTCAATTTTTCCGCGTTTTAAAATTCCCCAGAATGCGTCTGTTCATGTTTCATTTTTCAATTTTCCAAAAAAGATGTCTCCTGACTCCAACTGGCGTCACCCTCCCACACTTTCATCAGTACGCAAGCACAGACACTTTGTGTGTGGTTCACAAAATGCAGTTCAAATCCAAATAAAATGTATATTTGTCAATACCAGCATATGTGCTTATCATATATATCTTTAAAACATAAGTTGTTTTGAAAAAAAACATTTACACCATGTACAAAAAATCCCGCACACCTACCCTCAAATCACCTCGTATTTTATTCCATATCCAATATTTTCACATAATCTTTTCTTCCATCGACACAGTAGATATTATTATCCACGGTGATGGTCAATTTTAAACTTCTACATCAATATTAACAACGCAACAGGTGAAAAACATGAAAATTATCGCCGTTTTACTCTATTTACAAAACCTTTCGACATATTCAAATTGGCCCCCAACTTTGCCGTATTTAAATGCGCCGCGCTTTGAATAATAGAACCAACATATTACCGAAGGGCTCCGACTATAGCCAGACTGGTTCTCGCGCAGCGCATTTGAATACATTTCAAAAGCCTGGTACATTGATTTAGTCATTCTTGCTATTTTGACGCAAAAACAAAACCGTGATCGCTTATCGGCCCTTCAAACTTCAGATAAGGACACCCTTTTTTGCATTGTGTACACCGGTCTTACTGACGATATTTGAGAGACCGGTGTGTATACAATGACCTTTTTTTGCTCTTTCCGTCAGTCTTTCGGATGATTATGAATAATCGTCTAGGTATTTAAAGTCTTTATACTTGAGGACCGAAAGGTTACATGAGTCACGAATACAATATTTCTTCCTGTTTTTTGAAACGATTTTATATCTTGTTTTTCAAAGTTCGCAAAATTTTACTGACATCTGAATAGATTGTAAGTTTAAATTCAATGGAATGTGCATGTAACCATACGTTACGATACTCTCCCATAAATTATGGCATTATACTGTAGGAAAGGATGACTTATGAAATATATTATCTATATGCAAAATAATCAAACATGAAATCAAGGTATAAACATGACATCAGGTTTCTTTCGTGTGACAAGAAAGTATATTTTCCATTGTATGTACATGTATATTTCACAATAAATCAGAGTTAATTTTAGATTATTTCCATTCCAGGTCTAGTTTGATTCAATAATTATGATAAGTTCAGAATAAATGTGCATGCTTTATGTCATTTTGAAAGTAAATATTTTAATCTCACTTTTATTCATTTATTAATGCTTCATTGTATTATAATTTTTTATTATGTCTATTTTGAATTTTTTTATCAAAAACCAATAAAAGCAGTAGTTATATACATGTATTTATAACAAAAAGTCTTGTAATGTTAATCTATATCTATGTCTTATTGATATTAATCATAAGTTTTATTATGCGAAAATAAAAACGCATCCAAATGACTTGTCCCAACATTGTGCATTCTTGGAAAGTAAAAATCCAAATCCATCATCTATTTTACATTCACCAGTAGTTAAATCTATGGATGCCCTGCTTGCTTTTTCAAAGTCTGAAACATTGATGGTATTGTTTGCTTTCATAATTGTAAGTGGCATTTTCCAATCTTCATTTCTGAATACATTTCGCACTTTCCCATCAGTTGCCATAGTTACAATGCAGCTTGCCTTTCTGTCAGAGGCACAGATCAGTTGCTTTTCAGTATCGAAATATATATAAGCTGGTTGTCGGAACAACTGCTCACCTGCTTGATCTTTTATATAACATTGGATTATTGTTCCTGTTGTATTCAGAATTAAAACTTGTGCGGGTTTACTGCATGCAACATACAGTTTGTCCCCTGCATAATGTATACCCTCACATCTAGCATCAACATTTATTTCGTCTCCAACTGTTATGTTTTTATCTTCAACAGACATGATTTTGATTTTATTTTCATTTGGCAATGTTAATGCAAACTTGTTTACCTCAATAGATGTAATATCCCATGGACATGATGTTAATTCTTTCTCTGTTACCAGTGTATGTTCATCTACTGCATACAGCCTTACACGATTGTAAATTGTATCTAGTATAATTACATTTTCATTTGATATTGGGCATCCTCTTGGCATTCCATATTCAGGATAGTTTCCATAGAAACTCTTCAGATCCTCCTCTGATTCTTCTTCCTTTTGTACACACAGTTCCCCAAGAGCATCAACATTTTTCAGCGCACTGGTCAGAAACTTATTTGGAATAAAACAATATTTGTTCACTTTGTTTTCTTTTTGTATATCTGCCACTTTTTGTTCAAGAAAGTTCAGTTTTTCTTGATTTTTCTTTAATGCAATGAATAGCTGTTTGCTTTGTTTTGTTTCCTCTAGTATTTGAAAATCTTCTTTCAGGTTATTTATAACATTTTTTGAATCATTGGCTGAATCTTCGACTTGTTTCAGTTTTCTAGCTTCATTGTTCTCTTTTTCCTCAGCTTCTTTTGCAAGTTCCTGCTTCTGCAACTCAAACTGGATGTTTATTTTCTGCTGTAATTGATTAATTTCAGTTAGAGCCGTTTCTCTGCAAGATCTACATATTGCTATGTTTTCTCTTGCAGTTTTAATCTGATCCTCTAGGTTGGTTTTTGTTGTCTCCATTCTTGTACAAAAATCTTTATATGCAGGTGATAGTTCCACATCCTTAGCTATGTCTGTGAGGGTGCAGATTTCAAGGCATGGTTTGTGGTGTATGATCATACAAGAGTTGCAGCCAACTGTCCCGTGTGTTTTACAGTAATATTTAATCATCTCTCCCTCATGATGTGAACAGGTTTCAGAGAGACTTTCATCAACCTTTCTCTTTGGCATTTCTGACTTCCCTAGTAATTTGTGATGTTTCATCGGTATAGGAAGGCAATGGTACTTGAAGCATTGATCACAAAGATAATGCTGACATTCCACACAGAATCCCTCTGCTTCCTTGTTGTCTCCATCTTGGTAACAAGGATCACAAAATAAAAAGGCACTTGTTACTTCCTTGTTTAGTTGATTTGTTAAGTCTGTAAGTTTCCCAGGTACACTGTCAGCCATATTGTGTCTTAAATATGTTTAAAGTTTTTTTTTCCATTTAAACTTCACTTTTATTTGAAGCAGAATCTGTCACATTTTATTATCCACTTTTATTTTCTGTTTCCTGAGCTGACTATATTGAAATCATAAACGTGTATGTTGGCTGTTGTAGGAAAAATACTTTACAAATATATCGTATTTGCATAAGATAACCATCAAGAGTTTATAGGAAATCAATAAAGCAGAATATACTTCTTTACAAACTGTAGGGGCACTTCTTCTTAGCTAATGAGATAATGCACAACGTTATACACATGTAACTCTGACAGCTGTATTTCAACTTATATAAAGCAACCCCCCAACAGGATCAAATTTGCCCTGCACTCAAAGTGATATTAAAACATGCCCCTTAGATAAAAGATACTCTGCGCATTTGTTCACCTGTTGCAAAGACTTTACATTGTCTAGAGAAACACAATATGATCTTCTCGTTGTAACTAAATGAATCATTGTGTACACCGGAGACCGGTGCGTATACAATGCTAAATGAATTTTATAGATTTTTAGAATTTGACATTCATAGCCAACTTTTAAAATCTTTAGCTTATATCTATGTTTGGACAGCTTGTACGAGAGAGTGCAATTAGACCTTAGTTTATTCATATCATTGAATGTGACCTACTTTTGCGTTGAAGAAATGTCTACCTTTTCTAACATTGGGTCTCGAATTCAGATCAATCTAAAAGATCTTGTTAATAAAATTGCACACCTTTACATTGGTGGGATGTGTATAATTTTGCACAAAGTATTATCTAGTTACAAAATATGAAATGTTTACAAGTCTTAAATTGCATTAAAGATCATGCAAGATATTTTGGCTATATTGATTATCCTTTACAAATTTTAAGGTATGATCAGTAAAAGGTATTTGCTAAGTGCATTATTAATCATAAAAACTTTACAAAATTGGCATATACTGTAGGCAACTACAAAAATGTATTATGCAAGGCATTTATTGACTTTATAGGATACTAACTTCTCAGAAACTAGAATGCCCAGTGCTAAGGTATTTTGTATGTAGTATATCATTGTTGATCACCTACAAAAGTGATACAAAACATGCCCCTTTGTCAAAATATACCTCTGTTCTCCTGGTCACCTATTTTGCAAAGACTTTACATTGTGTAAAGAAATGAAATGTGATTTTCTTGTTGTAACTGCATGAAAAACCTTTTAAAAAACCCTTCAGTTTCAATCTAAGTTTCGACAACTGGTATGAGAGAATGAAATTAGACCTTAATTAAACTTGAATGTGACCTACTTCTGCATAGAGGAAATGTCTTCCTTTTCTGGCATTGGATGACACATGTCAGAACAATCAAAAAGCTCTTGTCTATAATATTGCACACCTTAACATTAGTGGGATGTGTATAATTGTGCACAATGTATTATCTAGTAATAAAATATATTATGTTGACAAAGCAGAAAATTGCATACAAGATAATGCAAGATTTATGAGGTAGTATTGATTATACGTTTTTACGTATGATCAGTTTAGTACATGAATTATCGTACTTGTTTGTTAGCAGGGAACATTTCAGTCAGGAGTAAGATAGTACAAGTAAGGCAAATTTATACAATTATACATTAATCCACTTAATGCAGTACAAACAGTACAAATGACATATCTAACATTAGTGCAATAACTGGTTTAGTCCTATTAAATTTAGAATGATTTAACCCATTCCCATTAATGCACTAAGATGAAAATATAGGCAAATACAAAAATTTACTATGCAAGGCATGTAAATACATGTATGTGTATAAACAAGATTTTAAGAAATGATTTCTTACCAACATAAAGTCTTCTATAAGTGGTCAAATGTGTCATAAAGTAAAATATTTTCTAATTCGCTTTGCTTAAATGAAAAAAAAACTCATAAAGTCATAATTACCTAACAAGAATTATGACACATGTAGTCTAGGACAGAATAAATAGCACTAAAAAGATTGAAGGCTTTCGCATTGTTTTAGTTATGTTTAATACACATCATTACAAAATATAATAACACTTTATGTCTGCGAAGGCTGAACCTTTGTACTAGTAATCTTGAAAACTCACAGCCTTTAAAATAAACTATTATCTTGATTATCGACATGTCGATATCTACGGATAGCAATACCCAGAAGTTTTACTGACAATTATGAGAAAAAACTTGCTTTTCCAAATTCACTGAAAACCTGAAAACAGTTACTAGTATTTTTTAGCATTTGCGTATTTTATATTAAATAAATTAATGGCTATTATAAGACAGTAGAAATTGTCTAAAATATGATAAACAAGATCAACAAGGAAATGTGACGTTCAATTAACGCAACCCGCACACGACCCAGCAACAAGAACCAGTGGCAAGGAGCCCAGGCGGATCCCAAACAGAAACAGGACTAACAATAGTTTAAGGGTTGGGTGAGTGGGCAATTTAATCTGTACAATACAATGTGAAGTCCTCGGGTGGCGTATCTATCGGCCTTTCAATTACATACACAGTTGACATATACACTTCACGGAATTGTAGGGATGTCCGTGGCCAAGTGGTTAATGTTTTTGACTTCAAACCACTTGCACCTCACCACTTTGGATGTGAAACCCGACAGGGACCTTGGAGTCTTTCATGTGATGAAGTAATCCAGATAGCTTATGAAACGTCGGTGGTTCTACTCAGGTGCCTATGTGTGCATGAAATAATGCACGGAAGGGCACCTGAGGTATTTCTCCATCAGTAAAGCTGGAACTTCGCCATATGACATATACCACCCAATCAAGCAACCAATCACAGAAATGTTCGTGCAAAACTAATTTAACCGTACAACTATAACACTTTCATTGCAATAAATACATTTAAAAAAAATTGCATACCGTATGTTGACTTAATGTAAGAAGGCAAAAAGACTTATTAATATTCTGTAATAGGGCAAAGGAACTCAAAATCTCAAAAACTCAGGGTTCAACATTGTTTTGTTCAGTGGATGAAAACACTGTAAGTTCTAATTATTTCTTAAAACTTTGACACAAACAAAATATTGTTTCTTCAAGGATAAAAGTCACATACACTGAGGAAAATTACAGTTTTCATTCAATGCTTCTGCAAAATGAAATTTAATAGCAATTTATATATTGAATTCACTGGAAATAAATAATATTGGGCATTCTACATGATAATGTTTAAATCAAGAATCTGTAGTACTTGACCCATAGGGAATGATTTATGTAACATATGTATAGGACCACCATGTGAAGCCTACTGCTAAACATTTAAGTTCTCGACCTTGTTCAGTAGATTTTATGCCTCGGATTGAAAACTTTGGAGGATACTGTGATGGGATAGTATGTCTGTACTTCAAATATATCTTATAACATCCTGTTATTTGTCATATCAATAATTAAATGAATAAGATGAACATGAAAACTGTACTGTAACAGGATCAAAAATTCGGGATCAAAATATTATACTGCTATTTTAAATAGGATTTTAACTGTTTAGCAATGATTTTGTGCATTGTCCATTCGCTGATAAGGAAATATACCAACATATTTTTTTCATACGGCTATTTTGAAACTTTTCTTTTGTAAAATTTCTAACAACACTTGTAAACTGCAGGCAGTAGATTGTAACTTTAAACATTTTAAAACCCTTGTTAATTCTGTCACACCTCAATTTTCTTCTTTTTTAAGTGTCGATGGCATTTCTTTGTGGATTGCTCAGACTTATTTATGAAAAGGCCATGATTTACAAAGTTATTTAATAATAAGTTAAATAATTTTAAGTTAAGTAATTAAATAATTAGTTAGATAATTATATATATCAAAATCTTCTACATGAATGTTTAGAGCTGCACTGAGATGGTTATGCCAATATGTGCAGATGGCAAGCAAGATATGTTTGAGCCAAGTCCCTGGAACTTTACACAGTATATTGAGCAATGTCATAAAAGATGGAAAACATATCTCAGAGAAAACTGGATAGTTTCTGAGTACTGGGGTAAAAGTTTAGAAACAGCCAGTAATACATGTAATATTATATTTAGGTATGTTTATTTTATTTCTTACCGAGTTTCAAATTTTAGAACATGCAACTATTACAGGTCTTGTTTGTGTTAAGAATCATCTAAAGGCATTTCCTGTAGGTTCTTTATTTTTACAGAGGCAAAGAAGGAAAATTTAACTAGTGAACAGAATTTCATAAAAAATTGCATAAAAATTGAATTATGATGTGAACATATTTATGAAATAAAATGGAGATCACCGTCCTTCTATTGAGTTATCTGCCCCTGAAAATGAGGTTTTGCTTGTTTTCAAGAGCAGATCACTCAAACCCAAGCATGCTGATGTCTTAGTACAAATTATTCTTTGATATTTTATTTTCAGTGATTAAAGTTCTATATATGATATTTTTTTCTGTAGAGGCTGCTCTAACTTGTTATCAAAGAAAATATAATTATTTTGAACTTGATGGATTGATGTCGTAAGGTCACACAAAGATTAATGCTGTTGATCACTGATGTAACAAATTTTATTTCATAAAGCATAAATATCATGGATCTTATCTTTCATTTCATTATTAAAATATTTTGAGATCAAACTGACCATGGTCACATCTATTTGACTCTCAGGCAGTGTAAAGAGACAGGAACTGATTAGCTCTTTCAAGTATGTTATAGCTATTTACCTGCATTAACAGAAAGTGATTAGCCGTTGCCACCAGTACAGAGCTAGACCAGCCTGCACATCTGTGCAGTTTAATCAGGCTCTATACTGTTAGCAGCTCAATTTTTGCATTTTATAATAATCCATTACAATAATGGGCTCTATACAGTTTGTAGTTAAATTAAAATCCATCCCAAAATCATTAAATGAACAGTTCCAAATTCAAAACAGGATAAGTCTATTACTTAAATTTAGCAGAAGAAAAGGTAAGGCAGGTAACATATGAGGAAAAATGTCATACAAATTAATATAAAAC